CAAGTCTGTTTTGGAATCAGACGCAAATATCTACAGCTGCTGTCACGGTGATTTCAGCACCTGTACTTGTGAAGTGTGAGAGTGTGTGACGGCGCTAAATCTTCCATTCCAGGTCTCTCTGTCAGCAAAATGTGCAGTTTCCCCGTATGCAATGTATCATGTTCTGTGTAGACGAGAGAGAGAGTGCAGGAGTATTGCAGGGTGTGCAGCTGCTAGTCGCTACTTTCGTCATATGTCTGTGTGTCTGTCTGTGTCTGTGCATGCGTATGTATATGTGCATGTGCGCATCGGCACCAGTTGTTGCTACTGGTGGTGGGCTGTGGTTTGGGGATACAATGGGCTTTTAACCACCCAGCCCGACTGTGGCGTTTAACAGCCACCCGCACTTTCCCAACAACACACCATCACAATCGTAGAGTTGTAGCACAAACACACTACAAGTACACTTCTTGTTTGTGCAGACCTAATGTCCTAAGCCAGCGCATGGAGGGTGTAGCATGAGGGGGTGAGGCGGCGTGGGAACATTCAACACTGGACAGATCAATGATAACGACGACGGATGGTAGAAAAACGGAAAAAAACACTAGCAGAAACCCCGCTAGTAGAGAACAAACTGGCGAGTCCGACAATACACACACACACACACGCGAGTGCGCGCACGAGCAGCTGATATCAACACCAGGCCATAATGCCCAGAAATCATGCTATCCACGTTCGGAGAACGGTAAGTTTAGTTCTGGGGTCACCAGGGTTTTATTTCCTCTGCAGTCGCAAAAGAAAAAACAAACAAACCATATGACAACTCGAACAGCACAAGAGAAACAGCCGGTATTCTGACAGATGTCCTAGTATTTTAGGTTCTTCTTTTTATCATATCCGATTCTTTCTTTTTTCTGCACGTAAAACAAAGTGCTTTCTATGATGATGTCCAGTGATCAATACTGGGTGTTGTCATGGGATACCAGTCACTATGGCTACCGGTACCATGGTAAGCTAGTTGGTTGACGTGGGCGATGGCGGGGTCGACCCAATGGTTATTCAAATACGACTGTTCACACGGCTTGGTGGACGCACACTTGGCGGCAGGGTTTTTCACACGGAGTAGCGTTAATCACGTCATCACACGATCGAGTGACCACCAGGATCAATCACATGACGAGCAGGATCAATCACATGACGGCCAGGATCAATCACGTGACGACCAGGATTAGTCACATGACGAGCAGGATCAATCACATGACGAGCAGATTAGTCACATGACGAGCAGGGTGCATCGTCACTGGTAACTCAAACGATAGGTCACATGACTAGCTACGCCATACATTAGATCATGTGGTTGATCACATGACTGGGTCACATGATACAGACCGATACACAACATCATTAATCACATGACTTGTCATACGAACGATTGTACACATGCACAGCGGGGATTCAAACATCGACCTACTTTCGTCGGCTCGGACGGGCCGGGCGAAACGATGCGGCCACCGGGAGCCTCGTCGTGTGGGCTTGTCGAGGAGGAGGAGGCAGAGGCAGCGGTAGCAGGTACGATGCGGGTGCCCTTGCCAGTCACCGATCCACCGGAGACCATTTCGACGAGGGTCTGCGTCTTGCCAGAGCCGGCGTTCCGGGACTGTGCTGGCATTGCTGCTGCTGCTGCTGCTGGTGTTGCCGGTGCTGCTGCTGCTAACGATGATGAAGTAGGAGTTGCCGAGGAGACAGCTCCTGCCGAGGCAAGTGGTGTTGACGAGGGTGGTCGCACTGCGTCGCCTGCATTACAACAAGACAGCGCATGCCAAGTTTCGTTTAGCAGCATGTAGTGCATCTAGAAATAGGGCGATGATTATGTGCAGTCAAATGTGTGTGTGTGTGTGGGGGGGGGGGGGGGGGGGTACGTGTGTGAGTGCGTGTGTGTATGCATGGGTGGGTGGGGGAGGAATCTGTGTGTGTCCGTGTCTGTGTCTGTGCATGCACACACATACACATCGTGAGTGTAGGTATGAATGTCAGTGTGTGTGTGTGTATGTGTATGTGTGTGTGTGTGTGTGTGTGTGTGTGTGTGTGTGTGTGTATGTGTATGTGTGTGTGTGTGTGTGTGTGTGTGTGTGTGTGTGTGTGTATGTGTGTGTGTGTGTGTGTGTGTGTGTGTGTGTGTGTGTGTGTGTATGTGTATGTGTGTGTGTGTGTGTGTGTTTGTGTATGTGTGTGTGTGTGTGTGTGTGTGTGTGTGTGTGTGTGTGTGTGTGTGTGTGTGTGTGTGTGTGTGTGTGTGTGTGTGTGTGTGTGTGTGTGTGTGTGTGTGTGTGTGTGTGTGTGTGTGTGTGTGTGCTGGCGTATGTGAATTAGTGTATGCGGGACGGGAACTTAAACGCGCGGAGCTATGTACAAAGTACATTCATTGGACAGAAATACCTTTGATTGAACTTGCTGTTGCAGGTCGCCTCACTCACTCACCCACTCATTCCCTCGCCCGTTCACTCACCCACTCATCCACACACTCGTTTACCACACATGCATCACACACACGCACGCACACATGCACGCACACACACACACACGCACACACGCGCGCCCCCGCCCCCCCCCCCCCCCCCACACACACATACACACGCACACCCACCCGACTGCGTGGCGGTATCAGCGTTTCCAGGCACGCTGACATTCTGCAGCAGGGCACTGGACGACTTGGAGTGAGCACTGCGCCATCCGCTCTTTTTCACCGCCGCCGGAGACTTGGCCGCTTGAGCCGCGTCTCCACGACGATTACTCCCGGGTGTATACGACTGAGGAGAATCGTTCGTGTCGTCGGCTGTACCCCCTCCTGCTGTGCTGGCCGCGTTCCGGTTACGTAATGTTTCCAGGAGCGATGAATGTGTCTGATAACCGCGACCGGCAAATACATCGGCCTTGTTGGAACGCTGGCTGCCCTGCCCAGTAGCAGAGTTGCTAGCGTTAATCGCTGCTCGATCTGCATCGACTTCACTCGCATGCGTCGATGCTGCTGTGGTGTACGCGGTCGTCGTGTCCACAACACCAGAGTCAGTGTTTAATTCTGACGACGAGTTCTTCTTGGAAGCGGGGGCGGAGGCAAAGTGTGAAGAGCTGCCTAGCGATGGCGATACAGTCGCGGCTGCAAGCTGCTGTTGCTGCTGCTGTAAGTGCTGCGCTTGCTGTCTGGCGATGGCGGACGGCGGCTCTTTGGGACGAGCTGTGTTGGACACAAGTACAGTACAGTGCACAGGCGTGCAGTGTGTTGACAAGAGGTGTGTATGGCGGCGGTGTGGCTGTTTAACCAGCTAACAAGGGCGTCATGACATGGGTGTTCAAATTATTGTAACGGGCATCCTCACTAGAGAGGTTAAGATGCACTTTATTTCCGACGTGACGCGCAATTTCACGTCAAATTTGGCGTAAAACTCCAAATTTCGACGTGAGCTGCATGTCATTCGCGTTGCTTTTCGACACGTGAGCCAAATAACGCGAGCTGAACTTTCGCGTCGCGTCAGAAGTAACGTGCATCTTATCCTCTCTAGTGTGTACCGAATAGGTCTTGGGACCACTCTGAGGGGTCTATGCTTGTTAAATTGACTCGCCGAGTACCGCGCCTTTGGTGAGAAGAAAGCAAAGGTTAGCCAGTTTATTGTTATAGAAACAGGTGATGAGTCTGTGCCAAGTCCAATTGTATGCATATCCTAGCATACACATGCCCCCCTCCCCCCCCCCCCCACCTGTCACATACACTCCCACCCCCCCCCCCCCCCACCACCACCACCACCAACACACTGTGGCGGCCACCACCACCACCACCACAACACAGCGGCGACGGTCACCTCCACCACCACCACAACAACACATTCCTGCCTGCACTTACTCATCGCGATCTCGCCCTCTATACTACGCTCCCTGGGTGCACCAGACGACGCGGTGGTCATCGCAGTGCTAGTGCCAGTTGCAGAGGCAGCTCTCACACCAGACACACCACCTGCTGCAGCAGCGACGGTAGCAACAGGACGAGACGACGACGACGATGAAGATCCCAGGGCAGCAGCGGCCGTAGCGGCAGAAGCAGCATTGCTCTCACGCACTCCCCCACCGGAAACGCTCGTCCCGTGATCCTGCGACGACGCACTGGCAGTCGAGGCTTTCTTCTCGGTCGTGGCACGCGTCATCACGTTGGGAGAACGCGAGCCGACAATGCCAGAGGAGCGCCGTTCTATCACTAAGTCAATGCTGGGTCGCTGCGAGGCGCCTGCCATGCACTTGCGCAGCGACTCGAAAGCTTCATAGTCTGACAGCGACGACAGGTTCTCCCCGTTGATGCTGACCAGGCGATCACTAGGCTGCAGTCGCCCGTCCTGGATATAAGCATGCGTGCGTGTACAGGATACATACGCAAACAGACAGACAGACACACAGACACACACACGTGCGTACACACAGATATTGGGTGGGTTCTAAAATCCCTCGGAAAAGTTCGAGAACTGTTCTTATTTCCTTTCCACATTAATCATTTTAGGATCCTCTCCAAAACTATCCAAGCTCTCCGAGCGATAGCGGTGGTTGGAACTTGGGAGATTCCTGCGTTTTAAGGGTCAGCGCATGCGAACTACATGTACAGTCAAACCTGTGAAGGCGACCACTCGGATAAGGCGACCACCTGCCCTAGAAGACCACTGAAACCAGGACCCAAGGGATGCTATTTCCAGTCAAACGACCCTGGATAAGGAGACCACCTGGTAACAGAGACCACGTTTTGAAGGTCCCTTGAGTGGTCGTCTTAACAGGTTACACTGTACTGTTTTTTAGACCACGGAGGCTCCACCGCACTCTGCAGCCAATTCATATCACGATCAGCCACCACCACCATACCAAGGTCGTTTACGCTGCAAATTCTATTGAAAAGGAATGAAATCTCCAAAGTTTCGCCCTTGGGGCTTCATCTTGGGCTTCATTATTATTTTACTCCCTGATGAAGCCCAAAGGGCGAAAATTTGGAGATTTCATTTCTTTTGAATAGAATTTGCAGCGTCAACGACCTTGGTGTGGTGGTGGCTGATCATGATACACTGTACTATACTGCTAAAAACCATGTGTTGGCCATGAGCGTACGACATTCCCCCCATCGCATACGCACAGCGCGTACTGCATTCGTGTCACTCAAGACTGGGGCCCCCTTTGGCGCCTTGCATGTGCAAAAGATCTCAGAATTCTTCTAGACCCGTTCTATGGAAAGGACCTGGTTCAGACCCTGAAGCCGCCGATAGAGGGGAGGAGGGGGGGGGGGGGGAGAGAGGGGGGTGCATCACCACAGAGTATACGCGACATGTCAATAAACACCGAGAAACGTTTCAGAGAGCTACCGACCTTGGCCGCGGCCCCACCCGGGAGAACATTCTTGATATAGATGCCATGTCCGACATCTCCTTGTTCGCCAGCTGTCCGTTGTTCACCTACACAAAGAAACAAGCAGGCAGTGAAGCCCATCAACAACTGGTTTTGCACAAGGCTACAAGATCGATAGTGTGGAGCTGGAGAAGACAGAAGTTTGATATAAAAATTGATGAGACCTATCGTCCTATGTTGGTTCAAGTGATCGACTCGAGGCTAGCTTGGGGTACAGCTGGTTGGTTTGAATTCTATGCCCATTGGCCAAGAAAACCGTCCGGAGCGATGTCATCCTGCATATCCCACACACACACTCACACACGAATCCGCGTGCGCGTGCACGTATACATACGGACACACACACACACACACACACACACACACACACACACACAAACATGCCCATCGCTGAAGCAATGATAGCGAACAGCTATGTTAGACATGGCAACTTGTGCTGGGATTACACCATTCTACAGCTTGCACGCCTGATGAATTGACCGCCACTAATTTTAGCCTGGTATCCACCATGCAGCTGATGCACACAAACACACACACACACACACACACACACACACACGCACGCACGCACGCACGCACGCACGCACGCACGCACGCACGCACGCGCACACACACACGATAGTAGCATTCTGGCCCTCGGGATAATTCACACTGCTCTCCGCCAAGACTCACTTGACATTGCTGTTTTGCCTTTCACGCTAATACCAAGACCGGCACTTCCACTTGACGTCAGCGGTATCGTGAACAGCAGCTGCTTTCTGACGGACAAAGGTGTTTGTACAACACCCACGCCACTAGACGCAGCTAGTGCTCTAGATTCTGGCTGCTGCCGGTTTTCGGATTTCGCTTGGCCCGACGGTGGCGCGGGTTTGCTGTCCTTCCCTGGCGACGATGGAGGTGTCTGCGTTGTCGCCTCAATGGCTTTGTGTTCCGTGACGGGTGTCATCGATGTCTGCGATGTGGAACGACTTTGAGTCTAGGAGACAAGCAAAAGGACACCGGGGAGACAATGTTAACAAGCAACACACGTCACACGCAGGCACATGCACATACACACACACATACACACACGCTCACACACACACACACACACACACTTGTACTTGCTCACTGCCGAATCTGGTCACGTGGGTCTCCCCGGGTGAGGGGAGAGAGGAACTCAAAAGGAGTCTTGGAAAGATGACTCAATTGGCTATTGAACCACCCAATGGCTGACACCCCCTGAAATCCCCAAAACTCTGGGTGGACTTAGAAATGATCTCACTTATGGGCTCACCACACCTCAGTAAGTGGGTGAGGACAAGGTGCAGAAAAGAATTGACGGCATCAGGGTATCCGTCCCGGGATCCAACTCACGAACACACACACACACACACACACACACACACACACACACGCGCACACACACACAAAGGCACACACACACAAAGTACACATACAAACACACACATCAAAGAATACCTCGTCATCCACAATTGCCTCCTCTCGCCAGAGAATGAGCGAGACCTTGCCAGATGTGTTCTTCAGCACCTGAACTGCTTCTTTCTGCGTCAGACCTGTCAGTGACGTTCCATTCACCTAGGAAAAACAAAATAAAAACACACACACACAAACACACAACACACAAACACAAACACTTAAACACATAATCACAATAGCGAGAGTTCCCAGATTGCCTAGAGTGCTCAACACCACAAGGATGGAGCACTACCACAAAGGCAGAAGAGAACAGAGACAACCGGCAAGGTCATCGTTGTAACGCTGCGTTTCATGCACATAGCAAAGATAAGGCAACCGTCAAATAACTAAACACACGATCATGTATACAGACAAGTGCACACATGCATGTTTGCACGCACGCACACCCACACACACGCACCCCCTCCACACACACACAACACACACAAAACAATGCGCTCTGGTCCCGAAGCAACGCCGTTCGCGTAGCTTCAAGGACAAAAATACAACCACACACCTCCAGCAGTCTGTCATTGGCTCTGAGGCGTCCATCACGGAACGCCAAACCACCCGGGGTAACAACTTTGATGAACACAGGTCTGTCCTGATCATTGCCGACTGCAACGTCCCGTGACGTCACACTAAAACCGAGACCACCGCTTGCACCCTTCTCAAGGACTATCTCCTGTCTTCGGCCGACCCGACGAGCCGCGGTCGAAGGTAGCGTGTCTGCAACACACGCACGAGCATGTACGCACATACACACACGCACAGACGTGCGTACATGCACGCACACCACACGTACACACACATGCACACACACACACACACACACACACACACACACACACACACACACACACAAGCAAAAGCCAGAAAGAACAGAATGCATAAGGAAAAACCAGAAGCATCGTACCGGGTGGCAATGAATCAAACGTCTCGCCGTTTCTCTCAAACATTGCCCCGAATACATGCGATACATTTCAGTTCAATAATCGGCGAGGAGACAACAATTTTTGTATCGCAACAAGGAGAACTAGCTGAAGTGAAGGCGCTTTATTCAACAATGTCAAGTGATGGACATATTATATTTCATCATTTACGGATTCCCTCGAGGTCATTTCTTTCTGATGGTGATTTATTTCCATTTTATACATTCTGCATGCCTCCATCCATTTGACAGGACCGCCGAAAGCAGTTTTTGATTGGTCCGGTAGTATCACGGCTGTTCATACAGTTTGTGTATGATATGGAGGGTAGTCACATGACTTTCATACAGTTTGTGTATGATATGTAGGGTATACACATGACATTCATACAGTTTGTGTATGATATGTAGGGTATACACATGACTTTCATACAGTTTGTGTATGATATGTAGGGTATACACATGACTTTCATACAGTTTGTGTATGATATGGAGGGTGTATACATGACTTTCATACAGTTTGTGTATGATATGGTGGGTACACACATGACTTTCATACAGTTTGTGTATGATGTGGTGGGTACACAGCTGCTCCCTCCACATTATGAAACATGCGTTGGTGACCAACAAGTTGGTCCGGTGATAACCTGACCAACCGGACCGGTTGCGGCGGGGCCTTCTATTGAAGATGGTCATCACTCCTACATCCCCTGTGTCTTGTTTTGTGTTTGTCTCCACATGTCTCTTTGTAGGGCTGTGTTCCCAATAAAATAAAATAAACTGAGACACTGAGACCTGAGCATTGCCAGCTAGCACCATGATCTATCACACAGCTTGACCGTGAGGGCCCAAGTTTCTCGCTTTCTACAGGTGCTCAGAGTTGGGCCGTGAGCTGAGCGTTTGTCGACTCCCTAATGGGCTACTCAGACTACGGCCAGTGTCACGTCTAAACGTGAATTTCCATGGTGGTGCCGTCGTGTTTCGACTGGCAAGTGCACCGTCGCTGATCAAACACGCCCGTATCGTAGAAACATTGCTGTGGCTGACCGCTTGGCTTAGTCTGAATCGCCTATTACCGGCATCTGCAGTAAAACCTGGTTTAAGCGACCACACCACGGTGCAAGCAAATGTGGTCGTTAAAGCCAGGCGGTCTTTAGAACCAGGTCCCTTAGTGTCTGTGTAGAACTTTCGGTGCATGTAAAACCGGTTGTTAAGAGCAGGTGGTCTTTAGAACCAGGTCCCTCAGTGTCTGTGTAGAACTTTCGGTGCATGTAAAACCGGTTGTTAAGAGCAGGTGGTCTTTAGAACCAGGTCCCACAGTGTCTGTGTAGAACTGTCGGTGCATGGAAAAACGGTGGTTAAGAGCATGTGGTCGCTAAACCCAGAGGTCGCTTACACCAGGTTTACTGTAGTAGTGCAGTCGTGCTCACTGAACGCCGACCTGAAGCGCAAAACTGGCGCCCTGGACCAGTTCAGATTACATCTCTTCACTAAGTGTACGTCCAGCAGCATTCGTACCACTTCCAGGGCGTCAAGGGCCGTGCAAGTTGAGGGCGACAAGTGTGCATTTCGGACCGGATTTTACCGAGCACAACTGCATAGTGTAAGTTAACAAAACTAAAATTAGGCGCATCTTTCTTTTCGGCTATTTTCGGCCCGGGCATTTTTGGCTTTAAAGGGGAAGTATACCCTAAAATCAAATTTTCACCAGTTGTAGTCTTCTGGGTGCTGAGTCGAATGGTCTTGGTCCGAGGAAGCTGCGACGCTCCCTTCCTACTTGAATCCCAATCGAACTCGCGCACTTCCACCGAAACTGGGTGACTGCGCCCTACTAGATGGGGATTTGTATGCAAAATGTCACTAAAAGCGCCATTTCGTTCTTATAAAAGCACGGATGACCGCGATTGGCCCATATGTTGTAGTCTTTTGGACGCTGAGTCGACTGGTTTTGGTCCGAAAAGGCTGCAATGCAGCGTTCCTCCTTTATTCCCAATCGAACATGGTTGAACAAGCGGTCACGTGCTCCTGCGTGCCCAAATCACCTGGTCACCGCGCCAGCAGGCGACAACTTTCACACCAAGGTTCAACTCGAGTTCAACTCGAGTGACAGGACTGCACCCAAAAAAGGTCAAACAGGCTAGTAAGTTGTACCCTGCAGGCACGGTGACCAGCTGACTGGTGTACGCAGGAGCACGTGACCGCTTGTTCAACCATGTTCGATTGGGAATAAAGGAGGAACGCTGCATCGCAGCCTTTTCGGACCAAAACCAGTCGACTCAGCGTCCAAAAGACTACAACATATGGGCCAATCGCGGTCATCCGTGCTTTTATAAGAACGAAATGGCGCTTTTAGTGACATTTTGCATACAAATCCCCATCTAGTAGGGCGCAGTCACCCAGTTTCGGTGGAAGTGCGCGAGTTCGATTGGGATTCAAATAGGAAGGGAGCGTCTCAGCTTCCTCGGACCAAGACCATTCGACTCAGCACCCAGAAGACTACAACTGGTGAAAATTTGATTTTAGGGTATACTTCCCCTTTAAATATGTTGCGGCCGAAATTTTGTTTTGCAAGTTTCAGTGCGCCAGTGTATACAGGCAGCAGCAGTACCGGTGGAATTTGAATGCGGCCGAAATGTGCTTTCGCCCCGGGAGGCCGAAATTTGAAGGCGCCGAAAATTTGTCGACTTACAGTATCGGGGGAATCCCCTCCGAATGCAGAACATACACATGTCTGAAAGTCGGCGAGGAGCCAAGAAATATTATGTACGCTGCACTCAGACCACAAGTTGCAGTCTGGTGTCATGGTACGAGTGCGTACACATTATAACAATCTACAAACAGAAAAGTCGACAGGGAAAACGCATAACACTACAAACTAAGAGCAAAGAATTACAACAGAAAGAGGCCATGAAAGGTCTTTCGCTATTACCGATAGTAGATTAACTAGAGTGTGCAGCTCCGGATCTCTCCTGCACAATCTGCACATACACCCGCCCACGGCGGAGTTTTTTTGTTGTCGTCACATTTTTCCAGAGAAACGCGCATTTTGCCGCAGAGCAGTGTGAGAGCACGTGCCGGGCACGGACCTTGTGATGTAAAGCCCGGCCAAGAGCACGAGGGAAAACTTTCCGAAAGACTCGCAGCGCGTGCGTCGTTGAAAAAATTACGTCAACAAAAAATTACGCCGTGGGCCTACCCATCCGCGAGTTGCACACTCTTGTTTATCTACTCTTGCTAGTACAAAACCGATACATAACAACTGTATATCAGGGGATTTCCCCCTGAATCCAGAGCACACACACACACACACACACACACACAGACGCGCGTTTCTGATATCTTTGCTGACACTTACTGGTAGCCGGTAGCACACCTCGCTGCTGCACTTGCTCAATTGCTGCTGCCGACTCCTGCGTTGCCACGGCTACGTTAGACGTCTGCGACTTTAGCGTGGTCATGGAGACCGACCCGGGCGGCCGCTCGAACACGTCCTCGTTGGCGTGCTCGCTGGCGTGGTGCGAACGCTGCTGTAGCGATGTCGTCGATGAGGTCGCTGTTTGGGATTGTGATGTCGTCGTTGCCGGCGCTGTTGTTGCTTCTGCTGCCTGTGTTGGTGGCGGCGATGGACTGGGACTGTTGGCGGTATCGTCGAACGAGCCCAGAGCACGCGACACCTGCAGCTTCATGTTTCCTTTTCGAACGGCGTCCTGAAACAGCGCCACCGCCCTGGTATGCACGCAAACACACAGATACGCGCGTACACGTACACATATACGGGTACACACGTACACACACACACCATGCGCACACACACAAGCACACATAAACACACACACACACACACCATATACAGGTGTGTAAGCACAATATCGGAATGGTTTACTCTAGTATCTGGCTTGCAAGTGTTGAGTTTTGGAGAGAAAAGAGCAGTACGAGGCATGTGGCCTCTAATTTCCTAATACTTCGTGAAATTCTCCGTAAAATTCACATTTGAAATTGCAATTTGACCAATTAAGCCCAGGATTGAATGGAAGACAATCGCTCTTCCAGGTTCATTACTTTGAATGGAGCTAATAGAGAGGTTCCGGGGTTATCAGTCCTGGATCTAAATCCGTACAGGGGCTACAGATTTGTTCGAGGCGTGCTTCATAAGAGGTTTCGGCACGGAGAAACCGTTTGGTCTGGCTTTCATGCTATGGTGGTGGTGGTGGTGATGGTGGAGGTGGTGGGGGTGGTGGTGGTGGTGGTTGTGGTGGTTGTGGTGGTGGTGGTTGTGGTGGTTGTGGTGGTGGTGGTGGTTGTGGTGGTGGTGGTGGTGGTGGTGGTGGTGGTGGTGGTGGTGGTGGTGGTGCTGGTGGTGGTGGTGATGGTCGTGGTGGTGGTGGTGGTGCTGGTGGTGGTGGTGCTGGTGGTGGTGGTGCTGGTGGTGCTGGTGCTGGTGGTGGTGCTGGTGGTGGTGGTGCTAGTGGTGGTGGTGCTGGTGGTGGTGCTGGTGGTGGTGCTGGTGGTGCTGGTGGTGGTGGTGATGGTGGTGGGTGTGATGGTGGCGGCGCTTGTTGTGGTGGTGGCGGTGGTGATGGTGATGGTGGTGGTTGTGGTGGTGGTGATGGTGGTGGTGGTGATGGTGGTGCCGGTGGTAGCTTACGGACGAACAAGTTACGACGCAGTCTCCAAAGATAGAGGAACACACAATTTAGGGCTGTACATGTACATACACATGCGCATAGCAATGGAGTAGAAGCTGAATCAGCTTTAGGTGAACATCAATCATGGGTACTACGCTGTCGTGTGTTATATCGTAAACGTTATGTTGTACTGCATCGTGTTGTAGTATTGTTGTGTTGCGTGCATCATTTTTGCACGCCATTTTGTTGGTGTACGTGCATATCGCTGTTGGGTGCCGTCTGGAGAGAGTCCGCATTGTTTGTCTTGAGTCATCCGAGTCCAGTTGGCGTTTTGTCGTCTCCTTTCCCCTAAAGCCCTTTTCAAGGCAGTTCTATCACCAACAGCCCTTGTTATCCAGTGTCATTTCAGTTGACCTCTTCCCCTGATTATTAGTAGGGCAGTGTTTTCTCGTAAAAAAACAAATTAAAAAATAAAAAAATAAATAAAAAAGCCCGTGTGTGCAGCGAAGACAAGGCTGAGAGCAGTACAGTGCAGTACAGTACAGTCGGGCGCCGAAGAACAGAGCGCCGAAGAACGACCAGGCTAGTATTTCACCAAGCACATCATACCCCAATGTATACACGGTGACTCAACCGTGCATAGACTGTATGTAACACATGAGAATAAGAACGGTCTAGGCTAGGAGGCTGACCCCCCCCCCCCCCTCCACCCCCCTCCACCCCCTCCACTCTACAGTTTTCAGCGACCGACATCAGTACTGTGGACGTTTATTTAGAGTTATCCTAGTCCAGTTGGCGGTTCGTCGTCTCATGTTTTCCCTAACGCCCTTTTCAAGGCAGTTCGATCGCCTACAGCCAGTATGTGTAGCTAGAAGCAGCTGATAGCAGTGCAGTAAAAACCTGTCAAGAAGACCACTCGGATAAGGTGACCACCTGTCCAAGAAGGCCACTGAGACCAGCACCAAGGGATGCTATTTCCGGTCAAATGACCCTTGATAAGGAGACCACCTGGTAACAGAGACCACATGTTGAAGGTCCCTTGAGCGGTCGCCTTAGACAGGTTTCACTCTACATGTGTGTGGGTTCGGGCCAAGCACAGCACGCTCCGCAGCTGCAATCCTGAAACGTAGCCCACTTTTTCACTCTACATGTGTGCGGGTTCGGGCCAAGCACAGCACGCTCCGCAGCTGCAATCCTGAAACTTAGACCACTTTTTCACTCTACATGTGTGCGGGTTCGGGCCAAGCACAGCACGCTCCGCAGCTGCAATCCTGAAACGTAGACCACTTTTTCACTCTACATGTGTGCGGGTTCGGGCCAAGCACAGCACGCTCTGCAGCTGCAATCCTGAAACGTAGACCACTTTTTCACTCTACATGTGTGCGGGTTCGGGCCAAGCACAGCACGCTCTGCAGCTGCAATCCTGAAACGTAGACCACTTTTTCACTCTACATGTGTGCGGGTTCGGGCCAAGCACAGCACGCTCCGCAGCTGCAATCCTGAAACGTAGACCACTTTTTCACTCTACATGTGTGCGGGTTCGGGCCAAGCACAGCACGCTCCGCAGCTGCAATCCTGAAACGTAGACCACTTTTTCACTCTACATGTGTGCGGGTTCGGGCTGTTTCGGGGTAAACAAGTTAGTTGTTTACGATAGGATTATATTCTCACTTGGCCATTGTAGGCAAATCATAAGAACCCGACATCTAAAGGATCCTGCATGAAAGTAGGCAGCTGCGAGATGTGTATCTCGCGCATGCTCTTGCATGGCTACGTAATGCATTACATCATAATACAACATCCCCTTCGTCATAAAGGAGTTTAACAACCTACATAACATACCGTACGCATATGACGGCGTGTTCACAATATAGAACATAACATCCAACAATAGCTCTATGTACAAGGTAACAATCATGAATGGCACACGACGGCGTGCTAGCAATACAGAGACATAGTATCCAACAATAGCTCTATGTACAATATAACAATGGCACCTCAGCTACTGTGACATAAGCGAACAGGTCCATGAGGCCTCTCTGGCCCTACACATCCAGGATTGACCTGGGTGCGACTGCGCGGCCAGACCGTGTTCGATACAGCTGGGTGGCAGGTTCAGCAGGCTGGCTGACGTCACACGGTGACGGCGGCTGAGACTGGCTAACGTCGCTCCACGGCGACGGCACATCACTCGGCGGCTGAGGGCCTGCGAGACTGGCATCCGGCGGGAAGTGGACCCGCCTCTCTCTGAGGTGGGTACGGTTGCGCCGCACTTCTGTCCCATGGTCAGGCTGCACCATGTATGACCGTGGTCCGTTGACAGACTGGGTTACGATACCAGGTTCCCACAGGTGCGTGGTCGGGCTGCGGATGCCGACGTGCTGACCAGGAACTAGGGGGCGGAGAGACTGCGCTCGCTGGTCATGGTGTACTTTCTGCTGGTCTTGCCGTTCCTCGAGCTTCTGTCGGATGGCCTCGTCCCGAGTGTCGCGCTGGTGTTTGCGAGGCAGGTTGTCCTGTACCTGACGACCGAACAGCATCTCGGCCGGCGACGGTAAGCCCTGGCACACTGGGGTGGCGCGAATGCACAGCAGTGCTAAGTGCGGGTCGGTCCCGCTCTCCCTTGCCTTCTCGAGAGCTCTCTTAGCGATCTTGACTTGCGATTCGATAAACCCGTTACTCTGCGGGTGATGTGGCGACGACGTACTGTGGCGGAATCCATATTCGGCAGCAAACTCCGCGAACAGATGGCTGCTGTATTGCGGCCCGTTGTCCGACTTCAGCACGGCTGGGATGCCGTGCTCACCGAAAATCTCCTTGAGGTGCTGGATGATGGCCCTGCTGGTCGCTTGTCCGGCAGGCAGCTTCCGGGTGATAAAGTACTTGGAGTAGTAGTCGGCGGCAATGAGGTATTCTGACCCGCCGAGGTAGAACAGGTCCGTGCCTAAGGTGTGCCATGCCCTTGGCGGAATATCGGGCTGCACCAGTGGTTCCTTGGCTTGACTGCTCTGGTGGCGCTGGCACGTCGTGCAAGATGAGACAGTTGCTTCGATATCCTTGTTGATGTCCTTCCAGAAGACGGACGTTCTGGCTCGCAGCTTGGTCTTCTCTATGCCTTGGTGGCTGGCGTGCAGCTTGCTGAGGATTTCCCCCCTCATTGGCGGGGGAATCAGGACGCGACTGCTCTTCAGGATGAGACCGTCCTCGGTGCTCATCTCGTCGCGGAAATTCCAGTACGGGAGCAGAATTGCCGGCACCGCGCTCCTCTCTGATGGCCAGCCACTGAAGATCATCTCCTTCAGTGCTGACATCTCGGCGTCTTTAGCCGACTCCTCGCGGATCCTCGTCATCGCTGCATCGCTGAATTGCGGGAACACGGCGTGTACACTGACGTCGAGGTCCTCAATTGGCTCTGTTTCCTCTGGCGACAGTCGGGATAGCGCGTCTGCGATCGGAATGTCCTTTCCGGGGCGGTACTTGATGGTCATGTCGTACGGCTGCAGCTTCAGCAGCATGCGCTGTAGACGCGGCGGGGCTGCGCGGAGGTGCTTGAGCTTGATTGACTCCAGCGGCTTGTGGTCGGATTCTACTGTGAATGACTGACCGAATAGGTAGGTGTGGAATCTTTCACACCCGTATACGACAGCTAAGAGCTCACGCTCAATATTGGCGTAGCGAGACTCCGTCTCGGTAAGCTTCTTGCTGGCGAATGCAACAGGCTTGTCGTCCTGCAGCAGAGTGGCACCGAGACCTTTCATGGAAGCGTCGACTTGTAGTGTCGTTGCCTTGCCTGGGTCAAAGTAACTGAGCGTTACTTCTGTCGAAATGGCGGCCTTGACCTTGTCGAAGGTGCGCTGGTGGCTGTCTGTCCAGGCGAACGGTGTATCTGGCTTGGTCAGCTCACGCAGGTGCGCGGTCAGTGTACTGGCATTCGGTATGAACGGGCTCATGTACGTGACTAGCCCGAGGAACGTCTGGAGCTCGTCCTCGTTCTCGGGGTGCTCCATCTGCTTCAGCGCTGAGACCTTCTTCGGGTCGGGCTGTATTCCGTCAGCGCTGCAGATGATGCCAAAGAACTTGATCTTGTCCTCTTTGATGCGGCATTTGTCTGGGTTCAACTTCAGGCCAGATTGTTCGCAGCGAACCATCATCTGGTGCATGTTGAGATCATGGTCCTCGTCTGACGTCCCGTATGTGACGATGTCGTCTGCGATGCCGGTGACGCCTGAGCACCCTTCGAACGTCTGGTCGATCCTTGCTTGGAAGACATCTTGCGACATCTTGAGGCCGAATGGCATGCGAAGGAATCTGTAGCGCCCGAATGGTGTGTTGAAGGTGGTGAGGTAACTGGATTCGTCGTCGAGCTCCACATTCCAGTACCCACATTTGACGTCGACGATCGAGAACACTTTGGCACCTCTCAACTTCGGGGTGATCTCCTCAATGGTGGAGACCACGTGGTGCTCTCGCAGGATGGCGTGATTGAGGTCCTTGGGGTCTAGGCACAGGCGTAGCTTGCCATTGTCTTTGAGGCGGAACACGAGGCTGTTCACCCACGCTGTTGGTTCGCCTTCCTGGATCTTGGTGATGATGCCGTTCTGGATCATGTCCTCCAGCTCCGTCTTGATCTCGTCTCTCAGTGCGATGGCGTGGAGGTGGCGTGGAGGGTGTACAACCGGGACGACGTTGGGGTCCACCGTGATGTGGTACTTGCCTGGGAATTTCCCAATGCCATCGAAGCACTTCGGGTATTGCTTCATCAGGTCGTCCTTGTCTCGGATGCTCGCTGGCTTCTCCTGGACAGCGCAGTTCAGCGTGACTAACTGCAGGGCTGTCGCTGTCGGGAGGCCGATGATAGCAGTGCCAGGGCAGTCCGTGATGTAGAAGTCAGCGAGTTGACTCTTGCCATCGTAAGAGCACGGAATAGGACGGGTTCCGCATTGCTTTATCTTGGATCCGCCGTACGCTGTGAGGGTGGTACTTGACGGCTTCACGGACGTCGGCTTTGGGTATCCGTTTGGTCCGACGTGCTGGGGAAACATTTGGCAGAACACTCTCAGTGGCAATATATTGCCCTGGGCGCCCGTATCCACCTTGGCTCTCAAGGTGGCCGGTCTGTTGGTGTTGTCCAGGCTGACATTGAGGGTCGCGAACACCTCTCGCTCTAGTGGCGGTTGGTGACGCTCGACGCTGTCGATGATGACGGCGTCGAAATGCAGTGCGTCGAAGCGTCTCCGTGGGCTGGGGCTCCTCTGGGGGTAGCGCTCCCGCGGGCTGGGGCTCCTCTGGCGCCAGCGTCCGCGTTGCTGGCCCCTTCCATGTGCCTCGTCTCTCCCCTGCGAACGGCATACGTTTGCCCAGTGATTCGCCTTCCCGCATTTGTTGCAGGTGGAGCCGTGCGCTGGGCACTTGCTTGGGTGGTGGGTTCGTCCACATTTGCCGCAGTCTGCGTGTCCCACAGATTTGGAAATGGCGTGAACCGTTTCAGGTAGACGGCTGCTGCTGGTGGCGGTGGACAGCTGCTCCATGTGGCGCTGTGTTGCTTCATAAGTACGGGCCTTGTCAAGCGCTTCGTCCAGAGTCAAATCACTACCACCCTCCAGCAGGCGTTCTTGCACTTTCGAGTGCTTCGTCCCCACAATTAGCTGTTCTATCAGGCGATCGTTAGTCTCCTGAGCGTCCCTGAACTTGCACTTGGACGTCTTCTTCTTACACCTCGCAAAGAAATCATCTACAGACTCGTCGGGTTGCTGGCGGTATTTCTGAAGCTCAAACCGAGCCAGTCGTGCATTTACCCGTGGCTGCAAATACTTATTAAATTTCTTGAAGACGGCAGCTACTTTGGATTTGTCGCTTGCATTATCCCACTCGAAACTATTGAAAGCATCAACACCAGTTCTCCCGATCCATAGCATGACATAGGCGACCTTTTCCTTGTCGGACTTGTCGGAAAAGGGCCCTTGGAAAACTATAAGGCAGTATTGTTGGAACCGCTCGAATTCGTCAGGTAAATCTGCGGCTTGCCAATCCATCGACGGCGGGGTAAATCCGGCTGCTTCTGCCATTTTTACCTCTTGCACCGGTGGCGCTACTGCGACAATTCTAGGGCGTTTATTTAGTTTACTTCTGACACCATGTTTCGGGGTAAACAAGTTAGTTGTTTACGATAGGATTATATTCTCACTTGGCCATTGTAGGCAAATCATAAGAACCCGACATCTAAAGGATCCTGCATGAAAGTAGGCAGCTGCGAGATGTGTATCTCGCGCATGCTCTTGCATGGCTACGTAATGCATTACATCATAATACAACACGGGCCAAGCACAGCACGCTCCGCAGCTGCAATCCTGAAACGTAGACCACTTTTTCACTCTACATGTGTGCGGGTTCGGGCCAAGCACAGCACGCTCCGCAGCTGCAATCCTGAAACGAAGATCACTTTTTCACTCTACATGTATGCGGGTTCGGGCCAAGCACAGCACGCTCCGCAGCTGCAATCCTGCAACGTAGATCACTTACTGGTTGTTGGATAGCTCCGTGAGGTCAATTCCGTTCACACAGATGAGCCGATCGGCAATCTGCAACACACGCACAGATTACACACCAGTGTTGATACATCATTCTAGCAAAAACAAAACAAAATCACGGTCCGCGTGAGACTCGAGTTTTCCGCATCCGTAGGAACGCCACCACCCTTCAAGGATCAAGGCGCAGACGCAGCTAGCCAAATATCAGTAGGAAATAATTCACTTGGCGGCTTGTCACTAGGGGTGTGAGCGGGTAGTTGGGTACCCGTGCTACCCGTGAGGTAGACGATGATATTGCTTCGCACCTTAGGAGAGAGCCATGGAAACACACTTGATGACCTGTAAAAGCCAAAGATCTGGATCTGGGCTTCCAAACCAAGCGGACGGTCAAAATTGGGCATACCATGGCTGTTGTCGGCAGCAGAAAGGTGAATGGTCGGCAGGTCGTGACAGGCCTCCAAAATCGGCAGGCTACTGACATGTCGGCAGGTTTGGCAACACAGACACACACACACACACACACACACACACACACACACACACACACAGCAATCTCCTTACCCGGATTAGCCCATTCTCGGCTGCTACACTGCCAGGTAGAATGTCATGTACAAACACACCAATATCACGATCATCCGAAGTCCGATAGCCACGAACAAACACACCGGCTTCGTCCTTGCTACTTCGACATGACAGTTCAATGTCTGCCACCTCCTGACCACTGCTGCGGGAAGGAAAGAACCACACACACATACACACATACACACACACAAACACACACACAGGCACACACATAAATACACACAATTGTACTTGTACTTGCTCACCGCCAAAACAGGTCATGTGGGTCTCCCCGCGAGAGGGAGAGAGACTCGAATGGAATCTTGGAAAGACGACTCAATTGGCTATTGAACCACCCAACGGCAGACACCCGCTGGAATCCCCAAACTCTGGGTGGACTTGGAAAACACCCCACTTATGGGCTCACCACACCTCAGTAAGTGGGTGAGGACAAGGTGCAGAAAAAGGATTGCCAGCATCAGGGTATCTGTTCCGGGATCCAACTGCATTCACCCCCCCCCCCCCCTGCCCCCGGTATTTCTTACGTGGGTATTCGACTGCGCGGCTTCGGAGTGTGCGTCTGTTCAGGCTGTTGCTCGTACTGCTCCTCCGTCCGGTCTAGCTGCTCCGTCTCGTCTAGCCGGGGGTGTGTACGCGACTGAGCTGCGGCGGCGGTCTGTTGCCGCGGTAATGGTGGCCTTTGCGGGTTTTCATGATCATCTGGCTGACTCGGCCACTGCCCATCCGGGTAGTGATGCTGTGAGGCTGGAGCGGCCATCGTCGCCAATGGCGACGAAGACGATGGTTGCTCCGGCTGAGCGCTCACAGCGGACACTGAATGAGCGTCTCTAAGTCGTTGCTGAAGTGCAAAACAGGGTATTAAAGTCAAGAGCAAGGGAGCAATGAGAGAGAGAGAGAGAGAGAGAGATAGATAAAGAGATAGATAGATAGATAGATAGATAGATAGATAGATAGATAGATAGATAGATAGATAGATAGATAGATAGATAGAGAGACTTGGTGCTGAGCCACACGCATACATCCATGTCGACGTCGACAAAGTTATGTCTTCTTCGGCGTGAAGAAACCAAGAATGCTGGCTGTTGTTTTCGTGTCCAACTGCTTTTTCATGAAGCCACACAAGTACAACCAGACAGACAGGCGCCGCAGTGGGTTGGTCAAAGACCATGATTGCGATACGAGAGGTACCTGGTTCAAGTCCTGCCTGGGAGCGGTTTTCCAGCCGTGCTGCTACGCACAGTCAACTGGGAACTTGTGGCCGGGCACAAGGGGTACATGGATGCGGTTAACGGGGTTTCTCGGCACCTGTGCCAGTGGTTGTGAGACGTATCCCCTCTGCCCCCGTCGCTAGGCGCTGCATCTGCCGCTAGGGTTTACCGGGTGTTAGCGGCCGTCGTGAGTTCCCTTCGAGAACGGACACGATATTTTACTTTTCGTTAGTACCGGGTAACATAGTAGTCTATATCATGCACAGGTTAACCCTGCTTGAATACATACACTGATACAGTCAATTTCGCTAATAACGACTGTGGATATAACGACTGTGGATATACTGTAAAAGCCATTATTCTAACGAGGCGCATATACAACGATTTCCCGAAATTGACTAGTTTACGTGTACCAAAGGTAATGATTCTCACTCATTCTCAACGCTCAGTAGGACTGTATACTGTATAACACCTTTATTTCGGTGTAATTTAAATTTCGGTAACTTCGGTACTGGTCCTGGATCACCTAATTTAACATTACACCTAAATTTTCCGAAATACCAAACATATGTATACATCATGAAAATCACTGTCAAAATTAATTAAAAAAATCAACTTGTATACTGGTATAGTACATGTACATACATGTACATAATTATGTGGAGCCTAGCCGGAGATATTGGAGCAAGAGCCGTTTTTTTTTTTTTTTTTTTTTTTTTTTTTTTGGTGCCATGCATACCGAATTTATCCTTACACCCAAAGGTCAGGGGTTGGCTTTTACCGAAATTTTACAACACCGAAAATAAGGTGATATAGAGTATGTATCGATTTCTCTACCTTCATGTTGCCTGACGATTGCGAGAGCATGAAACTTCAAGGCGCAGCAAACAAGCCTTGATTGTCCTTGTTGTTCTGTTCTGTATCGATTTCTGTATAATGATTTCTATTTTAACGACAGATTTCTACTCGTTAACTCGTTAGAGTTAGCACTTCGTTATATATATATATATATATATATATATATATATATATATATATATATATGGTTTTTACAGTAACGACAATTCGCGAATAACGACAGAATTTCCATGCCCAGAGCAAATTCCCATCTACCTGTTAACATATAATGAGACTTCGGGTATAAGGACACTTCGCGAATAAGGACATTTTCTGATGCCCCGCCGAGTGTCGTTATACGCAAAGTTGACTGCACGCTCGTCCGCATCCTGATTTGTGTTTGCCTACCTCAGACAACTGTTGCCACTGGAGCTGCTCCTGCTTTTCCCAGCGATTCACCAGAAACCTGGACGGCATCATGGTGGACTGGTGCGTCACTGAACCCCTGACGGGACCCGGCGCCGATCCTGACGCCGCCGCTGCGGACCGCGTGCCCCCCAGTGCGCTAGCAGCCGGCAGTACCGTGTTGCGATGGAAGCGCATCGGTGGTACGGCTGCCGCCGATGATGATGCTGGTAACGCCGTGCCAAACTCGTCCTCCTCTTCATCCTGCTCCAGCTCGGAGTTGGACGCGGACGGCTTTCGCATGCGCCGTGATCGCTCGGCAATGGGCGAGCGGGAGACTGGCGCCTGGCGTCTGGGGCTGACGGACCGCATCAGTGGCGAGCGACTAGGCGAGCTAGCTCGGCGCGCCGGCGAGACGACGCGTGACACGGCTTTGGTTTGTGCCGCGCCAGCCGACGGCGTCAAAACGTCCACGCTGTGCCGGTGGCCTGCTGCGGGCGCCTGCGAGACGGCGAACGATTGCTCGGGATCGTCCGGCAGCGTCATTGGAGCGTGAGCCGCGGGCGGTTCGGGGCGCGGCACCCGAGTGCTTAAAGCCTTGCGCGGCGAGCTGGGTCTGTCGACACCGGGCCGAATGACGCCGCTGGCCACCAGCGTCCCGCGCACGGAGCTGTACTCGTCCGCGGAGTGCTGCTGCATAGTCCCCGGTGAGCCCGTGGGTGCACGTGCCCTATCTCCCAGCGGCGACGGTGAGCAGGACGAAGGCGGAAAGGGCGACGGCGTGGAGGCTGCGGATGACGAGGGCACGCTGCTGGAGCCACTCGACCTAGCGCCTGTACCAGCAGCGGCAGCAACACCGCCACCATTGCCACTCCTGCCACCACAGACGTCGTCATCTCCGTATAGCGTAAACATGGCGATCAGCTGCCGGGATGCACAGCGCAACACACAGCGCATACGCGTATGCAAGCACATGCACACATAGACACACACGTGCACACACACACACAAGCACACACACACACACACACACACACACACGCGCACACAAACACGCACGCACACACACACGCACGCACACGCACACACGCAAGCACACACGTACACAAGAACAGTCTAAGACACAGACTTGGAGAATACGTAACATTTGAATGATAAAACACAAGACTGGTACAACATTATTTGCAGACGTCATCAATCAGCTTAATATGGTGTTCTGAGCCAGATTCTATTCTACTCACTGGTGTTTGCATGTGTGTGCTTGTGTGTGTGTGTGTGTGTGCTTGTGTGCTTGTGTGCTTGTGTGTGTGTGTGTGCGTGTGTGTGGTGTGTGTGTGTGTGTGTGGTGTGTGTGGTGTGTGTGTGTGTGTGTGTGTGTGTGTGTGGTGTGTGTGGTGTGTGTGTGTGTGTGTGGTGTGTGTGTGGTGTGTGTGTGTGTGTGTGTGTGTGCGTGTGTGTGTGTGTGTGTGTGTGTGTGTGTGCGTGTGTGTGCGTGCGTATGTGTGTATGTGCAAGCATGTATTCATGTGTCTGTGAGTGTATGTGTGTGTGTGTGCGCGCAAGCGTGTGTGTGTGTGTGTGTGTATGTGTGTGTGTGTGTGTGTATCATGCAAGAGGCGACGGTGTGCGTGTGTTTCTCTAGCAGTAGCGTACCACTTCCTTATCGTCCAGGACATCACTGATGATATCGTCCGGATCCACTACCGCATTATCGGCAGCGGTGTGCAGTGCAGTAATCTCCACAGCAACACCGTCACCCTGAGCAACACAAGAACAAAATGGAAATTGCACACGGCCAATGGGCAAATGCAGCATATACATGCAAGGAAAGTTTAAAAAACCCCGTAGACTGACGAGTGACAGTCAAATTGTATGGTTTATGTGCGTGTGTGTGTGTGTGTGTGTGTGTGCGTGTGTGTGTGTGTGTGAAACCGTTCCAATACTCGTGCGTGCCTGGAAAAATGGTCTCTATTACGTGAACGGTTGCTTTCCAAGGAACAAGTTCACCTGCCACCACACACATATGAGTATGGCATGCGTGGCAATTTTGTTTGTTGCGTGCAAACCCATGGCCCATGGCCGTGACCTCGTATGACATCACTTACTCTTCTACACACACACACACACACACACACACACACACACACACACACACGTACGCGCATACACACACACACACACATACGCACCCCCCCACACACACATACACGTACACACACAAACACGCGCACACACGCACATTCTTTCGCTGCCAAGACAGGAGTATTTTCCCAAACGTCTTGACAGAAAGCCTCGGAAAGAGTCCTGATTTTCTCTCCCAATCACAGCCTGTGTGAGTGGAGGTCAGAGGGATCACAGCCTGTGTGAGTGGAGGTCAGAGGGATCACAGAACTGTAGTGTGTTCTAAGAAAGTACAGTTTGCACGTCCGCGTTACCACCGCCTATACAATTGCATTGAGAAACACAACCAGCTGTAGGAAGTTTCGCTCGTGCCAGGCCACCACCATGCCTGTGATACCAGGGTGGCAGATGCAGCTCTGCGTGTTGCAGTGTAATATAATTATAACTCACTAACTGTACAAGACAACAACAGAGTGAACACTGCTGACTACTACACTGATGGCAACTGAAATCCGACCCCCTGGGCGATGCGTTCACAATCACATTCTAGCGATCTCTATAATTTTTCGTAGTTTTGCTATCTTGTATTGGGTCTTTGCGATGCGAGCGCACCGCTCAGGGGGTCGGATTTCAGTTGCCAGCACTGCGGACTAGTACAGTAGTAGTAGTAAGTCAGGCGTCCACATCAAGAGTGACCACGGAATGCAAGTTCGTTGCTGCAGTCCGCTGTTACTAGTGACAGTGCATGTAGTGTTACTCGCCAACGTAGCAGGAACGGAGAACAAAAAGCCCAGGCATATTCGGCGACCTTCGAGTCCGAGCTTCACTACGAAGTTTTCCGCGAACAATATTCAGAGCGACGTCGCCGGTACATAACAAAGCCGTGATTCCCATCGCATCATCATGTAGATCCACCACGACACTTTTTGTTGTTGTAGAAAGTATCGACATGATGCATATGCAATCTCCAGTGCACACGCGGCGCTTGAAAACAACATGATCTGAAGCGACGTCGCGACACGACTCTGCGCTTCAACTGGGAATTTTGCCACGCATTTATCGAGATGTTCATTCATTTACGCGGCGCTGAGCCTAATGCGGAAAACGGGGAGACATGACTGGACAACAAAAAAAAGTCGCTGCCTGGCCAGGAAGAAGTTGAGCCTAGCGGTAGGCGAGCCCAAATGCAAATCATATCCTACGAGTGGCACATCAGCGAGCAGAATGCCTCAAGAAACACACACACACACACACACACACACACACACCAAATGTTCCTCCATGACACCACTGGCAATGCAGCAGTACCAAGTCAGTGGACACCAAGTCCAAAAGGAACTGCGAGCTTCACCACCGTCAAAATACACACAATAGTTCGCTGGGGAGATTTTGCAGCGACAGCAATGTTCTGGTACGACTATCAGCGGAATAGTACAGCACAACGCTAACAGCACGGTACCTTTCCCGTGGCTTTCTTGTAGCGATGCGCTGCTTTGTCGAACAGCGCGCGCACCTCATCCTCGCCATTCCCACACGGCACGACCACCGTTGTTTCATCAAACGCCACTTTCACCTTCATGGTGATGCTGATCCCGCCGCTGCTGCTGCTGCTGCTATCTAGCGAGCACTTCGCTCCGGAATTACACGCTCATCCCAACAGCAGTTGCGCACGGAGCCTCCAAGGGCACGGGTGGTAGCGACGGACCAGTGCAGTGCAGCGCACGCTATCTGGATCGGTGCAAACTAAAATACAGCTGTGTTCCAATCGCAGCCGCCGCACCACCTCAATACGCACACACACACACAGATTCCAGCGTCACAAAATTTAACCTGCAGCAGCAGCAGCAACTAGAGACTAGAGTGGGACTGTACAGGATCCTTTCTCGTGTGCAGTGAGCTTCGCCGACACACCAACAACCTAGCGTGGCTGTCTCGATCGATAGCAGTCGTTCCTGACACGCTGCGCTACTGCAGTAGCAGTAGGAGTACAGCTAGCCTCTACTGTCTCTAGCGCCGTAGAAAGCAGTAGCGATCACACCACGAACCCTGTACAAACCTCAGTTATCTACACGTACACCAGGGCCACGGCGAAGAAGACTCCTATTTTTGCGCCGGCTTTCTCAATCACACATACAACCCACGCTAGCTCTTAGAGTTAGATAGAGGATAAGTGCCCTGGCCTATATTATAGGTGGTAATGTACCGCTAGCGAATAATATATTATTATGTGCCAGCTCTCGATACGAGAGTCTGAGACAACCCTCTGCACTGTGAGTGCACAGACTGCAGTTTCGCTTGTAATATTCATGATATTGATGTGTCGTGAATGCCACACGGCGGCGTCAACTAGGCCCAGTCACAGTGCAGTCTAGCCTCTAGGGTCCACTCTCGCCTTTCCTCCGGACATTCGTTCGCAGTGGCCGTGGCTGCATGCACCGATCCGACGCAGATGTGATACTGATAACGATACTACAATCATACACGCACACGTACAGACAGTCAGTCGTAGATCTACACTCAAATCATTGGATCGAGCGGACCGGACAGCACACGAGTGCGTATCGCGCATCCCAAATAAAACGAAAAATAATAATGGTACACGTACACTGCCTGTACAGGGCCTACATACAGCCTTACAGTTACAGGGATGAGATTTCCGCTAGCGCGCGAAGGGCCGAAGCCAAGGCTCCCACTGTTTCAGCGTCAGACGAATCTGTACGTAGCTGTAATTATTAATGTCGAATGACATAATGTAAGTATGTACAAATTTTCGTTTGAAACAAACTAAAGTTTTTTGTATGAACGTTTTACTTTCGGGGTGACAGCAGACCTAGACCTAGACCTAGACCTAGACCTAGACCTAGACGGTAGACCTAGACCTAGACCTAGACCAAAAACGAAATTTAGTACGTAACATGCTTGCTTTTGGAGTGATCTGACGAAAGATTTCGTGAACGACATTAATCATACAATACCATTAACAACATGTACTTGAAAACACCGCCATTCCGGCAACAGGCTCTCGATCTCAGCTGCACCAAATAAAAATTACTTCGCCAATATTTCGCCCATTCGCGGCATATTGGGCATCATCAGGGCATTGAGTACCCTACGTACGTGGCATTTTTTTGTTACGTACATGTACAGTAGGCCTTTGCGGATAATGCCGGCAGAAAAATTGGCAGAATTCGGTACTTTTTCTGGTAAGTTTCATGCATGTTTGGTATGTGGATAAAGAAATGGAGCAGAATTCGAGGAATTGCCCGCCATAAGGTTTGTATGGTTCTGCCAATTTCGGTGCAAAAAAAGCAGAATCTGCCACCTTTTCGAGCATTATCCGCCAAGGCCTAATGACAGTACGTAACAAAAATATGTGCATGTGCATGCAATCCAGGAATGCACTGACAGTCTTCGCACTTCCACAGCCAAGCTCTAGCGCCTGTTTTTACGTGCAGCCACGGACTCGGCACGGAGTGACAAAAAGTCATGCACAGACTCAGTGATTTCCAGATTTGTGCCTTCACTTGCGCGCGCTGGCATTTTTGGCTGCTTTTCGGACGTTTCCTTTTTCGGACCGGTTTTCGGAAGAGCCTTCAAAAATCGGACGCTGTCCGTAAAATCGGACGGTTGCGGCACCACGGCATGCACATGATGATGCGGCATGCGCACGCAGACTTGCAGGCACCCGGATTCAATACTGGACAATTTTATTTTGTATTACGACCACGTCCCTTTGCACGATGTTGTTGCCTGGTGCTCCTTGCAACTACTGAGTACTGTAATTACTTGGACGCTAACCTGCCTGTGACCCATGGCGTCCGACGAGCAGAAGTTGCCAGCTTCTGTCCGAACTGCCCGTGATTTGCTGGCTAAGGCAGTTGAGAAGGCTGGTATTCAGATTAGCGGTGGACTTGCCAGCGATGCCAAAATCCCATTGAAAGACATTTTTGTCAACTTGACGTTGCTGACAAAGGACGAACTTTCCAAACTTTTCAGTAAGTCATCGTCCTTTTCGTCTGCTTCTGAACGAATACGCCAGTTGGAATTGTTCTCAGAGGCTCAGTCACAAAGGGTCGCTACGGCCGAGCGTGGCATTGAACTGGAAGATATTTTCTCCGCTACCAGCGAGCGGTCTTGCAATCAGGGGGCCGCGCCGCGCCCGGGCTGTGACCATGAGGTAGCTGATTCTGGTTTAGTGGAGCCGCGTGCCAAGAAACCAGTGGAAGAGAACATGAAGAATGTACTAGCGTTTGGTAGCGCTGGCTGTGGCAAATCCACGATCTTTCTGATCATGCTGGAATACCTCTGGTCTAAAGGTGAGCTGTGGCGTGGAAAGTTTGATCTGGTATTGGCAGTGGAATTACGGCGTGCCGAGGTGCAAGCTGCTACGAGCTTGTGCGACTTGCTGGCACGTCGATTCTCCAGTCTGGATGTGGAGACAGATGAGCTGCTGGAGATGTCCCGGTTCTTTCGCAGCAACCAGTCCCGTCTTTGCATTGTGCTAGACGGGCTGGATGAGTGCAAGTTGGACAACTGCAGTGAATACATGCGTGATCTACTGTTGAGAAGGCGTAGTGGTGATATGCATGTGGTGGTGACGTCTCGACCATGTACTGATGCTCATACCCTGTCGCAATGTGGAGAGTATCAACAGCAAGTGGAGGTGGTTGGATTCTCACCAGACAACGTTGCAACGTATGTGAGGAAAGTGGTGGGCGGTGTGAAAGGCGAGGCTATGCTGGAGCAGCTCCGCTCACAAGAGGGCACAATGTCGCTAATGGGTACACCTCTGTTTGCTGCGCTGGCTTGTGAATTGTTCATGGACGACAGAGACGGTAGTAAATTGCCGGAATCTAGTACAGGACTGTACGAGTCGCTTGTTCGCCGTGTCACGGAACGACGTGCGGGCAAACGCTACAAGACGCTTTCCGCCATCAAGACGGACGAGGTAGAAGACTTAGTGCTGAAGGAGCTATCTGGTTTTGCACTATCTATGCTAGCTCAGCAAAAGATGGTGTTCAACGAGGAGGATGTCATTTCGGCACAACTCAGCGCGCCTGCAATTGAGTTAGGATTGCTGATGGCTTACAAGAGCACCAGTTCAACAGAAGACCGGCAATATCGATTTGCTCACTTGTCCATTCAGGAGTTCTTGGCGGCCTGGTACGTGTCTAGCGAGATGCTGAACGACGAGAACAACGCTGCGTGGCTGGTGAGGAGAGTTGGCCACTACAGCGGTCACATGACCATGTTCTGGCGTTTCCTGATCGCGCTCACACCGCCAAAGCCCGCAGTCGCCATCATGGAGCATCTGTGGCGGATTATCTGCGACGGCGACCGTACACAACGTGCATGCAGCCAGACTGATACACGCCTGCTCGACGACATTGTGAGCTGTTCTCAGCCAACCAAGCAAAGCAACGACGTGGACCGTATCCATGCGGTGCTGAAATCGGCGCTGTCAGTTGAAAAGATGAAAGAGCTCGCCGATCAGCTGCTGGTCGGCACTGCCGGGCAAGGATGTGGTCGTCAGCGTGTCGACAATGCTCTGCCGCGAGGCAGGGAGTTGACGGACGACTTGTACCTGGATACTCTTGTAAGCGTATGGAAGAACGAGGCAGCGGAGACGAGTGCAGAGGTGTTCCTGTCGGCTGTACGTAAAGTGGATCCCGCGACCGCATCGCATTGTGAGCAGCATGCGATGACAAGCGCAACATGGGAGATATCGACACCATCGTCACCTGGAGCTGCTCCGGCTGCTACTACTGCTTCTATACGGCCTCCTGCGGTTGACCAGGAAGAACGTCGTTGCCTAGCTGATTTGTTAGTAGCTTATCTAGAGCACTGCCAGTATCAAGGTACGTCATCTTGTAATGGCCATTGTTCATTCTTCTCTCAGGTCTTTTCTCTGAATTTTAGTGGTGTGAGCCTCAGCCTGTTAGATTGCACTGCCATTGCTCATTTCCTCACAACCCATTCTTGTGTGGACGTGCAGGAAGTGCGCCTTGATTGGTGTTTCTTATCCAGTACTGCTATGCGCTGCATTCTTAATGGCTTGGCACACTACACACATGTACGTGTGCTCTCTTTGATTTGGAATCACTGTACCGATGGTAATGTCTTTTCATCAGCCATTTTTTCCGCATCGTCCAGCCTGGAGGAAGTGCATTTAGATGAGAATAAAGTCGGCATTGACGGCTTTGCTTTGATCTGCCGAGCGCTGAGTTCATGTAGGAAATTGCGGAATGTTTCACTTCCCTGGTTATGCAGTGAGAAGGGTGCTGATGTGCCGCTCACGACCATTCTGGAAATTCTCCATTCCAACAGGAACCTGGAAGTACTGGATGTCCTAGGATATACCTTCACGTATGGTCCTAAATCGGAGGACCGACGTGTACTAGCCCAGTTCGTACAGGCTGTTCGCCAGTGTAGCAAGCTTAGTCAGCTCAACTGTTCTTCAAAGTATTGGTATAACAGCAGGTTGCTGTCCGTGCTACAGCCGCTGGTAGATGATCCTGAATGTGCTCTCCTGCGTATTAGGCTCTGATTGTTACTATGACACTGTACAGTTGCCATGGTTATAGCCAGCACCAGCCCTTGCACAGATTCTCTTTGGCGGTGAGCACTGTGTTCTATTCTTGTACAAAACTTGATTTTTCAGCCGCTACAGTTAACTACTTGCCTATAACGGGGCAGTGCAAAGCCCATTTTCCTCTTGCCCAGGCCAAACACTGAGTTGACCGTATGAACTTTCCTTGCCAGTGGTGCATGTCTATATAGCAGATAAATTTCGAACACTTTTCAATCTTTTCTCAATTCTTGAGCGCTGCCATGCTGATAACACTGCTTGCAGTACAAAAATATTATTTTGAGTGTCTTGTACTGACACGATGTTTTCCCTCCATTTCCTTGTCTCTTCTGTGTTTCCTGAATTACACTGACAGTTGACTGTGTGCAGTCCACCGGTATGCAGACTGTATGTTTGTTTGTGAAGAACACGTGGAGTGATTCACATGAATGTCAATCACTGGCATTGTGCATGGGTTAACATTGTGTGTGGTATGACGGAGAAAGGTTTTTACCTGGCTCTTGTTATACCGGCACAGCACACACTTATGATGCAGGTGTGTATGTGTGTGTGTGTGGGGGGGGGGGGGGGGGTGTCCGAGTGAACTGGCTAATGATTGTGTTCGACTTCACAGACGTGCTCTGACAGATTGTGAGACGAGGGGGGGGGGGGAGGGAAGGGGGAAGAGCTAGGGGCCAGCAACAAGGGTGTGTGGTGTGTGTGTGGGGGGGGGGGGGCGTGTTTGTGTGTATGTGTGTGTACGTGTGTGTGTATGTGTTCTAGAGAGAGGAGAGAGAGGGTGATCACCTACTGGTGTACAACACAGGACAGTCACTGTGTGTTGGAAAATGAAATCAGAAAATGAGAAATGAACTTATAGCAACTCGGACTGGTACAATGGTTTATAACCAAGGACCTACGACCACTCCGCACATTCATGTACACACACCCACACACATACACACACACACACACACACACATACACACACACACACATGTACTCACGCACACACACACGCACACACACACGCACACACACACACATTCATGTACACCCACACACATACACACACACACACACACACACACACATACACACACATACACACACACACTTACACACACACACACATGTACTCACGCACACACACACACGCACACACACACGCACACACACACACATTCATGTACACACACACCCACACACATACACACACACACACACACACACACACATACACACACATACACACACACACTTACACACACACACACATGTACTCACGCACACACACACGCACACACACGAGCACACACACACACGCGCACACACACACACACACACACACACACACACACGTACACACACACATACACACACACACACACACACACACACACACACACACACACACAGCAAATTCACAGAGCACTCAGCAGGGTTGAAGATCTTCTCACTTGTAGCCATGACACAACAGTCAGTGTTTGTATAAACCCTGCATTACTTTAGCAACAAAAATAAAACAGCAGACACTGAAAAACTATAAAAAACAACTGAGTCACTGACATGCCATACACTGCATAATAGCAGCAGCAGTTGTTGTAAATGACAAAGAGAGCACTGTTTACTAGTAACAATATATGTAGTGTTTGCAAGTGTACTGAAATTCACATGACCCATTCTAATCAGCCTGCACATAAAATGATCTACACTAGAATCTCCAAACATAACTATAGTCTGACCCAGCAGCTACATACCAGCATACATATACACTATACACTCAGTGCAGATATGAACGTAATGGAAACACACACACACTTGACCACGGCACACAACACACCACAACAACAGATAAACAAGAACTAAATTGACCTCACACGCATACACACACACACACACACAAAAACACACACACACACACACACACACAAACACGTGCAAACACACACACACACACACACACACACACACACACACACACACACACACACACATACACACACAAGCACATAAACACACTCAAACGCACACAAACAAACACACACACACACACACACGTGACAGGCAGAATACTTGTCTGGGAATGTCCACTACTGAAGTTGACATTAATGAGTGTATATGGGCTGTATGACTAACAAAATAGCAACATGAAAGACACTGACAAACATAGCGGAATACAGAATCATCTCAACACTAGAACAACACCATCATCAAGTCAGGTTTAGCACCTCAGAGTGACACGTTAGCGCATTGCGCCTGGCAGACATTAGCGCTTGATGTAGCGGATACGCAACACCAGTATCAGAAGTCCGGAAATGAAGAAGGCGAAGAACAATGCCAGCAAGATTCCAAAGTCAAAGCAGATCTGATCCAAGCCCTGCACAAACATCAACCATAACATCGTATGACGTCATAATTATTCATAAGTCTCTTATTGTCACACCACAGGTCACGCTTGTTAGGTTTTCTAGCACTTGCACCTTTGTGTCATTATTTCTATGTGTATAGGTCACACATTTTTGCTGTTAGTTTTAGCAATCTTCTTCTTTTCTTTCTTCTTTTTTATTTTTCTTCTTCTTTGTGCTGTTTTATCACTTCCTTACTGCACTTAATCCACTGTTCTTGTTCCTTTCCCTTTGTCTGTATTTCACCTGACGAGAAGGCTTGAAAGTATACTTGTGAAACCGAAAACGGTCAAGATGTTCGTAAAGAGCCTGAAGTGTGTCCTGTTTTTCTTTTGTTTCACTGTAATTGTGATATACAGTCGTCCCTCTCTAATCCGGCACTTGTTTATCCGGAACCCTTGCCAACCGGCGCATTTTCTGACGAAACCGATTTTTTTCGTTCAATTCCTACATCTTAATCCGGCAATTGAATTCCGCCTCCGGCAGTGACTTTTTGAAACGAATCGCTCAAACTGCACGTAGTTTGATTTCATAATCCGGCAGTCGTAAATCGCGTACCGTACAGGTGCACTCCTTGCCAGGCCAGGCTAGTCCAGTCTGGTCAATGTTGTCCAGGAGACAACGGCAGACAACCATACTTTCTTATTAGCAAGGAGTAGTGTCCTGCCAATTTTCAGGTGTGTGTTTGTGTGCGTGTGTGTGCAAGAGTACATGTGAACATGTTCTCTGTTTTACTTTATCACTTTATCACTGTGTATATTCCCGGAGAACAAATGAGAATATAAAGCCGTGCACCAAATACTTGGGTCGACACGGAAAAACCCTGCGTTTTGACGTACATATGATACATGCATGCAATTGGGTAGGGCCGGGTCAGAGGGCAGGATTTCTTAATCCAGCACCCTCGTTAATCCAGCAGAAAACGCCGTAGCAAAAGGTGCCGGATTAGAGAGGGACGACTGTACTATCCTTTTAGAGGTTTCCACGAATGAAGTCATAATGGTGAATCTGCGTAATTCCACAGCCGCTTACGGACGCTAAATGTGTCTTTGCAAAGGTTGTTTGTCGTCTCTGAGACAAACATTGTTCTTTTCGTTCTCAGACCCCCCTCCACACACCGTCGGTAATGAACACAGCTTGCTAATGTGTATGCCGAATATGGCATGCATGTACATGTAGTATAGAGGTGAACTGCTTATGGTCACTGTGTACATATATAGAGAGTGAGTGGCTAGTGCACTACTAGTTTTTTTATTTTTTATTTTATTTACTTGAAAAAGCACATAACCACCAGGAAAGCTGACAAAGAAAAAAGAGTAAGAAAAGACAGATAAAAAGAGAGCTGAGAGAGAGAGAGAGTTGGGGTACGGTTAGGGGAGGACTAGACATTGAATGGTGGTCGCCACAGTCACAGATAGTAGCAGTGCTGGTGAGGCTACAGGCACTCCACTGACCATTAGGTCTCAGTATCGCCATGCCGGTAACGCACCAAGAGACAAAAACGGAAGAAAATCTGAAGCGCAATACATGAATGGTAATTACAATATAGGTAATAGGGAGAGTGGTGACCAAGAGAGGACAGTATAGACCGTTAGTATGGGGTGCTTCAATGCACATCCCCAAACCGAGAGGTGCGATCTGGAAAGAACAGTGAGACGATCAACATGATGGGCTTCAAAGCACGTCCCAAGACCATGGCTGGTCTGAAATGTGTTTGTTGACACCTTTTTTAAAAGCTGTGAGTGGAGAGTGATTGGCCAGACGGGGAAAGACGTCCTCGGGGAGGCTGTTCCACAATTCAAGGAAACAGTACGGGAAGGAACGTCGAAGGTAATCGGGACTGGTGCCGGGGGTGGTGTTTAAGAGCTGTTCCCGGTGCTGGTGCTGAGCATAATGCTGCTGGCGGGTTCGAACAGTATCGGCCCGTGGTTTTGGGGGAGGGCGCATGCGTGTCAGACGGGGTGGGCCCTTGCAGTTAACTACCTTGTAGAGATAGGACAGCCCTGCGACCGTCCGTCTGGCCCGCAGACTCTGGAGGACGGTGGTGGGTCCAATCATCTGCATGGCCTTGCGCTGTGCTGTGTCCAACTTCCCAAGGTGGGTCTGGGCAGCACCAAGCCAGGCTAGTGGGGCATACTCAAGTATGGGCCTTACAAAGCCCTTATAGACGGTTAGGCGTCCAGCAGCATCCAGGATGGGGGCTGCCTTCCGCATGAAATGGAGGCGTTGATGTGCGCGCACAGAAAGCTGGTGGAGGTGGGCGCTGAAGTTGAGCTTCTCGTCGAATACCACCCCAAGGAGCTTCAACTGGCTGCTGACAGGAACAGGGGTGCCAAGGAATTGGACAGGGGGGAAGTCTAGAGGGGCCAGCTTCCTGGTCACGGACATCAGCTGTGACTTAGAGGGCTCAAAGGTAACCCTCCAAGTACTTCCCCAGGCTTCCAGCTGGTTTACGGCTGTCTGAAGTGCAGCTGCGGCGGCCTCTGTGGTCTGTCCAGGCATGACAGACGTGTATAACGTAGTATCATCAGCATACACGGCGATGGAGACGCTGGCAGGTAGCTGATCTTCGGCGTCGTTTATGTATACTAGAAACAATGTGGGCCCTAGGATGCTGCCCTGAGGGACGCCTTACCGGATGGTAGAGGGGGTAGAGGTCTGTCCCCAACAACAGCTTGCAGCTTCCGGTTCTGGAGGTACGATGTTAACCAGGCCAGCAGTTGCCCACCAATGCCATAGCCTCGGAGCTTGCTGAGGAGCCCAGGGTGTGAAACCCGGTCAAACGCGCCTGCTATGTCTATGGCGAGGGCCTGAATGGTTCCGCCCCTTACTGGTGGTTAAAGCCCCTTCATGCTGGAGTGACGTTAGTAGGTCAGCTGTGCCGATTGATTTCCGAAAGCCAAACTGGTTGGCAGACAGGAGGGTATTGCTGTTGAGATGGTTGATGAGCTGCTGGTTGACTATTCTTTCCATCACCTTGGATACTACACAGAGCAAGGAGACTGGTCGATAATTACGGACATCGCCCTTGGCCTTGCGCTTGTGGATGGGAACCACATTGGCTACCTTCCAGGCTGTAGGCTGGTAACCATGGGAGAGACAAGACGAGAACAGCTGCGACAACGGCTTTGAGAGCTCAGACGCACACTCCTTTAGAACGCGGCAGGAAATGGAGTCTGGCCCGGACGCTTTGGATACTTCAAGACACCGGAGCTGCTTGAGCACTGCTGATTCCCGGAAACGGATTTGACTCAGGATGGCGTCAGTGCGTGGTGGGAAAGGCGGGGAGTGTGTCTTCAGTGAGATCATTTGGGATGCTGCACTTCTCTGCGAAGAATGATGCGAAACAGTCAGCCTTGGAGGAGGCCGTGGTACATTGCTGACCATCGGCCCCCTTTAGGACAGGAATATCAGATGTGCGGGATAGACCTCCTGCACGCTTCATGTTTGACCACCATGCTTTGTCACGTAGGTTTCCATTCGACAGCTTGTTCCGCAATGAAGATACATGAGCCTGCTGCGCTGCATGGAGCACAGTGGCAACTCTCAGGCTGGTTGCAGTGTAGGTATCAGACAATTGCAGATCAGTTGGGTGTGCACGGGTGTGTCGCCAAGCACGGTTTCTTGCAGACACAGCTGTACTACATTCAGGAGTCCACCAAACAGGGTCACACGTTCTGACTGACAGATGCTTCGATGGGATGAAGCGATCCATGCCCTCCTGGATGCGGGAAGTAAGTTGTACGCATGCGTGTTCTGGGTGGTGGCTAAGAATGTGCTGCCAGTCTGTCTGACGAATAAAATGACGCATGCGGCCCCAGTCAGCCTGGTTGTAGCGCCAGACGCGGCGTCGAGACACGGGCTCAGTACGGAGCGTGACTGGGCTGAACTCAGCAAGAATCACACAGTGGTCTGACTTGCCCAGGGGTGGAAATGCCTGTACTGTGACGGGGTGTGGCAAGTTTGACAGGATGAGGTCAAGAGTGTTCTTTCCTCTTGTTGGCTGATCAACATGTTGGATCAGTCCGTGCGTCGCACATATTTCTTCCAGGCGTTGCCCAGCAGTGGTGTATCATATAGCACTGCACATGTACTGTGTATGGTGTTTTGCTTGCATACCTGTCCTAGAGATAACTGCTTCAGAACTGCATCACCATTCTCAAAGCAGAAAGCTGTGGCGTTGCCGCAGGAACCTGCTCAAACACAAACAAATGACAAGCAGAGAGTAAAAAGTGTTCATAAGTTTGATAAAGTTGAAAGTGTGAGTGTATTGTTTTTTATGAACACATCACTGCTGAGATGTACATGTAGAGGAAAAGATAAAACAAGACACAGGAGATGTAGGGACCAAGTGTCAATGTCTTGGAAGAATCTTTTAAACAGGCCAGAGGTCTCGAGGTTAGCGTTGAAATCAGGGATCGATAATATACCTAGGTGTGCGTGTTTGCATGTCTGTGTGTGTGATGTGTGTGTGGTGTGTATGTGTGTGTGTGTGTGTGTGTGTGTGTGTGTGTGTGTGTGTGTGTGTGTGTGTGTGTATGTGTGTGTGTGTTTGTGTGTGTGTGTGTGTGTGTGTGTGTGTGTGTGTGTGATGTGTGTGCAGGGGCGTCGCACACGGTACGGTCACTACGGTAATTGACCGTACCACTTTTTGCCCCAGGTACCCCGTGAATCAATAAAATACACTGATCTGGGATCTAAATTTCCAAAATTTTCGGCTCTTCCACCACTCCCCCACGAGTAAATTGTAGTTCGGATGGCTGACCGTACCACACTAAAATACCTTCCGTCGCCCCTGGTGTGTGGTGTTTGTGTGTGTATGTGTGTGTGTGTGTGTGTGTGTGTGTGTGTGTGTGTGTGTGTGTCCCATATGGTGCAGTGGTATGTGCAGCGATTTCCAATCGAGAGGTGGCGGGTTTGATTCCCGACGATTATAGTCACACACGTCTTTCTTCTGTTTCTCAGACTTCTCCTGACTTTTCTTTAATTCTCATGGGTGGTTACCAACAGCCAGTGCATGCCGGAGTATGTGGTGTGATGTGTGCGCCGAAAAAAAGGAATAAAGACCAAAAAAGTAGGGATTCACTGGCCAGAAAAAGCCACTTCATAGCTGTGTGGTGTAGACCAGGCTGAATAGTGGCGGTCAATTCTTCAGCCTTGCAAGTTGTTGAATGGTGCAATCCCAGCACAAGCTGCTATGGCTTCTGCTGTAGCATACCTATCATCGCCTTCGGCGATGGGCGTCCAATGGTCCAATGGTGTGTGTGTGTGTGTGTGTGTGTGTGTGTGTGTGTGTGTGTGTGTGTGTGTGTGTGTGTGTGTGTGTGTGTGTGTGTGTGTGTGTGGTGTGTGGTGTGTGTGTGTGTGTGTGTGTGTGTGTGTGTGTGTGTGTGTGTGTGTGTGGTGTGTGTGTGTGTGTGTGTGTGTGTGTGGTGTGTGTGTGTGTGTGTGTGTGTGTGTGTGTGTGTGTGTGTGTGTGTATGTGTATGTGTATGTGTGTGTGTGTGTATGTGTGTGTGTGTGTATGTGTATGTGTGTGTATGTGTGTGTGTGTGTGTGTGTGTAAGTGCCTTCTGACTGCTGGTTTGATGCTGCCCAGGATCGCTCTGCCTGGAGGCAGATTGCTCATCGTCGTCCTCCCGCCCGTGCTCCTCCTGATCCTGACTCTGGCTTCCGCTGCGCATGTGGAAAGGTCTGCCGTCGTCCCGGGGACCTCAAGCGCCACGCTCCGTACTGCAAAGCTATAGCGGATAGTCCCTTCGCTATCATTGCCATCGGCAATGGGCACGTTCAAGGTTCAAGATGGTGTAAGGACACATTTTACTCCGATCTTCAGGCTGTCCTACGTGCTGGCCCAGGATCTGACAAGTACTGGTACTGGGTGACTTCATCGCTCGTGTTGGATCTTGCACTGGTGAGGGAGACGAGTGGAGTGCTGTACGATGGTCACATGAACTTGGTATTTGTAACGAAGCTGGGAAGGAATTATTGTCATTCCTCAACATCAATAATGCCACCATCAGTAATACCTGGCTTCCCAAGAAGCCGATTTACAAGCAGTCATGGCAACACCCAGGGACCAAGATTTGGCACTCGATCGACTTCATCATGGTTCACCAACGTGACCGTAAAATGTGTACAGACTGCCGAATCGTTTGTCATGCAGATTGTGGCTCTGACCACCGGTTGGTTTGTCTCACCCTGAGACTCCACCAGCTGAAACTACACCGCCGGCCCAGGGCACCCAGACGTACACGTTTCAATGTGGGAATGCTGAAACCATCGCCTGCTGGTGTAGTATCCCTGCCCGACCAATACGAAGTAATACGGAAGCAATACGGAGCGACCTTATGTATTAATTTTAGTGTATCTTCGCATATAAGCGTACGGCGTTTGCTGCATAAATACAGCTGCGCTTTTTCTGTTTTAATTAGATTAGATTAGATTGGATAGCAATGAAAGCTAACTCGAAGAAGAAGGATTCAACCTCTAGGTGAGCACCGGAGAGAAAGTTATTTATTTTGCCGCTTCTTCTTTCACTAACGATTAAATCTCAGGTGTGTACCTGAAAGAAGTAGAATAAAAGTAATTCTTGTTGATTTCACCGCGCCTACCACTCGGCTACCCACTACATTGGTGGCAGCGGTGTAGTTTAAAAAAACAAACAACGTGATTCGACCCCAGACCCCATGGCTCAACCCGCTACAGCTCCGTGCGACGAATCAAGATGAGAATCATGTTTCTTGCCTTCCTGGGCTTGACCCGGCTTATTGGCCTGCAGCAGAGTCAGGGTGCTAGTGTGGATCACCCTTCTCTCCGCACGGCACTCACTGGAGACTCCGATGGCGATTCCAAGCGACCCGCTACCTACATGTATACTACCGGTGGTGATGGCGAAGCTGATGAGGACGACGACATGCAGGCTGC